ATTTTGTGGGGTGGAACACTCTATAGACGTCTATTAAGTCCATGCGTTCAAAAGCTTGGTTCAGTTCTAGTATTTCATTGTTGATTTTTTGCCTAGATGATCTGTCTGTTTGTGAAAGTGGGGTATTTAGATCCCCCACTACAGTTTTATTAGTGCTTTTTGGTTTTTTCATGTTTCTTAATATTTCTTTTATATAGTTGGGGGCATTAATATTTGGTGCATATATGTTTATGATTGTCATCTCTTCCTCTTGAATTGTTCCCTTTACAAGAGTGTAGTGGCCTTCTTTGTCCCTCTTAACGAGTTTTGGTTTGAAATTTGCTTTGTCTGCGAATAAGATTGCTACCCCTGCTTTTTTCTGTGCTCCTGTTGTGTGGAGAATTGTTTTCCATCCTTTCGCTTTCAGTCTATGTAGCCCAATTAGCTTTATCCACAGTTGTATAACTATTAGAAAATCAACCTATAATTCTGATTTGAAAAGCAAATGCCTGTCAGATTCATTGAAAAGATTTTTAAAGAAATTATATGGCATCTAAATACTAATATTTTCCCAGTTCTACAAGTTATAAACAAAGAATACTGGGGCTCGGGGGAAGAGACAAGGTAGACAGATTGTATCATCTTTCTCTCTTTTTAGATAGAGTTTAGAGCATCCTATTCCTATCTTTATAAAGAATTTCTTTGGTAGGACTTTGCCCTTTTATTCACCTTGTAGCAACCTGCCATTCCAGGATGTATATGGTAGCTTTGTAGGTTCCAATGGAGAAGGTGATCCTTACAGTCTCAATAGGAGTCTCTGAGTTCTAGGACTGTGTTTCTGTTATGTCTTCTGCTACTGTTCATGGTCTGGAGAGTTAATTCACCATAACCTAATTCACAAGCACGTGGTGACTAAACAGAAAAGCTTGATATGAGTATACAGTGGAAGGCTGTGCTGGTAGCATGACCAGCATGAGCCATTGACCTGGGACATTCTCTCCTGGTAGATAAATCTATTCTGGGAAACCAGTTACAGATTTGAAAGATGCGAAGGGTCTGAAGCCTACTTTCATCAAGCAAGGATACACTACCTTTCTCTACTCTTAGAGTTTTTTTTCCTACCAGTTTCCTTTCTTAATGTATCCCAGCTGGCTTGAGCTACTGGTGGCACATGCCTGACTGTCCCATCCAGTGGTACAAGCCACCCAATGCTTCCTGGAAGAAAGATGTGTGAATTACGACCCGACTGTGAACATGTTAATCTGCTCACTTCTATCTCTACTACTTCAGTTCTAGTTTCATCATCTCTGGAAACATATCTTAATCAGTACATATTAACAAGTTGTTTCACTGATACGCTGTTTTCTGAAAAGTTTTTCATAGATGTCTCATTTTATCCATTGGCCTTGAGTCTTATTAGTTTTTGCTTTTTCCATTTGAGGGTAGGGGAGAGATGGATCATTTTCTTACTGGTCCTCAGCTCGTGGAGTTCTCATATCCTATGAGCTATTGGCAATCATTTTACACATTCTCTTTCTCTTCCTACCTCCAATATTTCATTCCTCATTCTTAGTCTCCAGCTATGAATCATAACTTTTCTTTTACTGAAAAAACAAAAACTGTCTAGAGAATTGCCACATTATTCCACTGCTGTCTAATGACCTACAAACATCTGTGTCCATGTGCTCTGGCACCCTTGCTGTTGGTGTGAATAGACTATACTGGTCCCCTTTCTCTCACTTGCTAGGTGACATCATCCTGATTTCTTTGTCCCCTCATTCATCACTACTGAGTCTTTCACATTCACTTAGAAACATATTCATTATTTCCCTCCCTTGAACATCTCTCCCTTCCTCTATATTCTACTCTACCTGGTAGACCATTTGTCTTCATTTACATCTAAATTTTGTTTGTTTGTTTGTTTGTACCGGGATCGAACTCGGGCCCTTGCACTTGCGAGGCAGGCCACCGAACCACTGAGCTAAATCCCCAGCCCTACATCTAAATTTTTGAAAGAGTTGTTTCTATCTTATCTGTTGCATGTTCTTCTCAGCCTGTTCCATTCAGGATCGTATTCCTAACTGTCCCATGGAAATATTCTTGCTGGAGGCCATCAGAGTCTCTACACTGCTCCACCCAGTGTGTTGTCTTCTCAGTTCTCATCTGGTCCACTTTAACAACTAAATTTTTTCCTTTTAAAACCTCTTTTTCTTTTGGCATTCAGAATACTGCTATTTGTTACTATTTTCTTCGGACCTCATTCCTATGGTGTTTTCACTGGTCTTCCCTTATATTCTTGACTTTTGAGGACCTTGAAACGTTAGAGATTTTAGGGTTCAGTTCTTGGATTTCTTCTTAGCTCTGTGTGTAGTCACAACTCTTCTGGCTTGACAATTCACAAGTGTATGTCTTTACCTCTGACCTCTCTCCTCACCCCAGATCCCTATGAACTTTCTGAGTTAATATCTCCACTTGGAATTTGGAATTTAATATATCCTAAACTCAACTCCTGATTCCATATTCCCTCAAACCTGCTTTGTCCTATCTTCTCATTCCTAGGGAATAACATTTCCATCAGGTAACCACTTAAGCCAAAAACCTTGAATTTGTTCTTTTTTTTTTTTTTTTCAGGTAGAAATCACCTTCCTTTTAATTGAGTCATTAAATCCACAGTTTCCGCTCTTGGCTGTTACTCTGATAATAATCAGGTCCCCACCTCTAAGAACATTACATCTGACCAGCCTGAGAGCCAGTGTGAATGAATACAAACCCCAGTCCACGGCTCTTGGAACACTAAAACAAGAACAGCAAAAACCAGCCTTTCCTTTTACATAGAAAAGGACTAAATCTTGGAGGGTCTAAATTTCCACTTTCCAGACTAGGAAGCTGAGCTCAAAGTGAATGGAAACCAAGTGAATGAGGAATGAAGTCCAGGACCCTCTGTGCAAGGGCACGGCAGTCTTGACCACCTGGCCTCTTCTATGAGGAATGGCCCCACCAGCATTTTAAAAGAAGATGTCTCTGCTTCCATTTCACTTCTCAGAGAGGAATAAAAGCTACAGAAAAGAATATTATGGATTAGAACAAATCAACTCAGAAGAAACATTCTTGGATAATGATTTTCAGTAGCTGACAACATTCAGCACATTATTTCTGAGTGGCAAAATTAAGGGCAATCTGAAAGAGAAATCAAAAGTGGCAGCTACACTGGCTGACAGGTTTATGCAGGACACACACACACACACACACACACACACACACACACACACAGAAAACCTACACTCGGACAGGTTTATGCACGCCACACACACACACACACACACACACACACACACACAGAGCCTCCGCTTTCCTTTTCAGTGTATGTATCTGTTAAGGGGCTAAGACCCTGATCATAAAAATAAATTATTTTATACATTACGGTGTACAGACACAGAGAAAGACACTTTCTCAGAGAGCAACTAAAAGGCATTTTGCAAAAGGTCCACATTGCTCTGGAGTGGGAGGACAGAAGCCTGCACGGTGGCCTGTATTAGCTGGATGCCACCTCCTCTTTGCTGGCAGTGGCCTCAGTGGGAGCCGTTTCCTCTGCATGCTCTGCTGGCTTCTTCCTCTCCCCCTTCTCCTCCCCTTCCTCCTCCTCCTCGTCTTCTTGGGGATACAGGTCCGGGTACTTCTACATGCATTCCTGCATGGCCCAAAACTGGCCTAGAGTCCAATCCTTTGATGTTCTTTGTGCTGTAGTGGAAACAGGAAAAGGCCAACTTGAACTGTTCTCTACAGGGGCCACTGGCCATTTCCCCAGGCATGGGTAGTTTCAGTTAATGTCTCTGGCGGCCCATGTTCCTCATACAGGTCTTTGGGGTTGTCAGCCACCAGCTCTGCACTACTAGGAGTCTCGTGGTCTTTGGTCACAAATATTATCAAGTCTTTCCCTCCCACTGGCAGTAGGACGTGGCGCTGGCCCTGTGACCCCCAGGTGTGGGTGTGACCTCCACCTTAAATTTGTTCTTGACCTCTCTTTCTTCCTCTCATTCCCTACATTCCTATCATCTGCAAATCTGTTGGCTTTGAGCATCACAATGTATAATCTAATCACTCTCTACCACCTCTCTTCCTGCTGCCTTAGTTCAACCCAGCATGACAGTACTGGACCATCCTACTTTGGTTCCTTGCTTCTTCCATAGCCTGTTCTCAAGACTGCTGCTAGCATGGTCCTTTCAGCATATGTGTCAGATCACGTCAAAAGCCTCATGTCTTTCCATCTTGCTCAGTGTAGCAATGTTCAGTAGCTGACCAGGCCCAGCTCCCTGTGGTCTCATCTGTCTCCCTTACTCCCCTCCATTGCGCTCGCCTTTCCTCTGTGTCTCATTCCCACCTTAGAACTGTTACTTGTGTGGTTCTCTCTGCTTGCCGTACTTTTCCTCCAGATAGACCACAGGCCCTCTCTGATAACACTGATTAGACTAAGCGCTTCTATTCTGCCCACTTAGCACTCCCCAGCATGCGCAATTTTTGCCCACAGCACCAAACATGATATCCCTTGTTTATTTTTTGTTTTATTATCCTTTCCCCCCAAAAAAAAGAAATACAAGGAAAGGTCTTTGTTTTGTTCGATATTTCTGCCACATGTGTGCAATAGTGTCTTGCCCCCAGAAATAACTGTTCAATGAGTGAATGCATAAATACAGGAATGAGCACACCAATGAAATATCAGGAACTGTGTACTGGAGTCCTGTCTAGATTTTGTTAACATGTGATATGACAGAAATCTCCCTCTGACCTAGCATGTATTAGCCTTGCACTTATGATGTTCTTTCTCTTTTGTAGTTTAGTAGCTAACATTTCTTCATATTATTAAAATAGAATGTTATTTTTGCCTTCTTTATTTTTATCTCTTGATAAAGAGAGAAGATTAATCTGTTTAAAAACATGCCTAAAATTTTTCTTTTTAATGATATTTTGGTAATTGCAGATACAGCTGTTTTAGTGATTCTGATCTAGTTTGGGATTTCTTCCAGTGTGAAGATGATTTAGCTGAGAAGAGGAGAAGCAATGAGGTGCTCCGCAAGGCCATTGAAACCTACCAAGAGGTGGCTAGCCTGCCTGATGTCCCCAGTGACCTGCTGAGGCTGACTTTGAAACGGCGGTCAGAACGACAGCAGTTTCTGGGTAAGATGTAGTAAGAGCTAATTCTGTAGGAAATGGCATGTTCTGTCTTGAAGATCCTAAAAAAAACTGGGCCTACTCTTAGAAAAGTTGAGTTATGTTGAAGGAAACCTAAGTTTGACAACTAATTTCAAGTAATGTATCTGACTATTATAGACTGACCATCTCTAAAACTGAAATAGCAATCCCAACCTCAATAATTACAAAGATACAGGTGCCACTTTTATACACTCCTTGCCCTCCACCACTTTAAGCAAGGCAAAGAGTGTGCTGAATGCTTAGATAATCTGTCTAAAGAACCATAGCTAATGGCTAATAAGTCCAGAATAAAAAACTTCCTGGGTTGCTAAAATTCTTTTCTCTATGAATATAACAAACTGATTCCTAGAGGTTGAAATTATTTGTAGGATTTTTTGTTTTTGTTTTTAGAGGAATGTTAGGAGTTTCAGGTACCTCAAGTATTTTACATGTAAAACTTTTTCCTAGGAAATAAATTTTTAATGATAAAGCAAGTTTGTAAACACTTCAGAAAGAGCAGTACAAAGCATGCGCTCTACTGACCCAGGTTCCCAGCCTCAAAGGCAAGGAAGACTGTTGTATGCTAGCTTCATGAATGTCAGCCAGGTTTGTTATCTTTCCAAACATATCAACAAGGAGGGTAGGATCTAAGCCACATGTCGCTGCTGAGGCTGGTGCTTGGTTGGCTGCATGCCTACGTGGATAAGTTCTAAATATTCCTTAGAGGAGCCTTGAATAAATACATTTCTGAGGAATGAAATAAAGGATAGTTGTCCCTTCATAGATGACCAAAACTGTGAAAGGATTGAGCTTGAGTGATGATTCAAAACTAAGAAATATTCAGATAGATGTTGGTTCACAAAAGCCTGACCAAGGGAAGGAAACATGTGGCACAAATTCAGGATAGAAAGGAGGAGGCTGGACTCAAGAGTGGCAACAGGGGTGTTCGCCTGTGATGCAGAATCATTTTTACTGGGTTCTCCTGTTATCCCTGTCACTATATGATTCTGTTTAGCATAGTTTGTTGATTCTGTCATCAAAATGGTCATATTTGTTCATCATGGGTTTTTAATATTAATTTTTCTTCTTAAACAATTCATTAGATATTATCAGCTTAGAATTATGGATTTTTTTTTGGTTCCTTTTAAAGTTCTTCACATATTTTACCCTATTTCCAGCCCTCAAAAGAAGACTGCCTATGGAATCTAACTTTTCCCCAGCAGTCTTTCAATATTTGCACATGACTCTTTCTGCTGAAATGAGAATGAGGCCATGTCATTTGAGGGGACCCTAAGTCAAAGGAGCAGAAGACTTTATTGTGCATGGCAGGATGGTGAAGTTGGCTCCTCAAAATAGTGTGAAGGTTCATGGTGTAGACTATGTGACAGAAGCAGATGTCTGCAAGAAGAATTTTTGTCTGGATGTTGGGATTAACAGGAGAGGCACAGAAGACTGTAAGTGTAAGTGGGCAGGTAGGGGGGAGGCAGAGTGCAAGAAAAGTAGACTCAGATTTGTTAGTAAGGGAAGGACTGACTGAGCAAACCTAACCTGAAGTTCTGATTGGGTGAGCACAGGCCCCAGGGTGAATGGGTGATGCTTCCTTTGTGCTAGATTAATTTTTTTGTTTGTTTTGTTTTTTGATGCTGGGAATCGAACTCAGGACCTTATGCTTGCAAGGCAGGCAGCGGCACCACTGAGCTAAATCCCCAGCCCCAGATGAGTTTTTATTGGAATAAACAGCTCAGGTCATTACCATACTCTTATTGCAGTCGTATTGTACTCTTAGGCAACTAAAGCCAAATTTGTGGGCTTTAGGTAATTATATTTTTAAAAAAATATGTGCTAGGCTTATGTGGTAAATTCTCTTACATAGTTTGTGTTTACAGCTATGACAAAGAGCAGTGAGAATTGGCCCCAGACATTTTAAATTTTCATCAGACAGCCTTAACGGTAAACTGAAGCTGGGGTTTTCGATTCATATAGTGCATAGTGCCTGTTGTCCACCAGAGGGTCCCATAATACTGGGTGATATATCCATTGCTGCACAACTAGTCAGTACTTAGAGAAGAATACACTTTCAATTGGAGATTGCATCAGCCATTCCATACTTTTCTGTGAGGTTAGTGACTTTTCACATTTTAGGCATGGTGCTTGACCTTGAAATCAGTTAGAACTTTTATTGTCCACCATCAACTTATAATTTTAAAGCTAATAAACAAAAAATACCACAACAAAACACTTTTATAAGGAATTGGTAACTGAAACTTTCTACAGAGAGAAAACAAAAAGTTGAATATTGATCTACTTAGAAAATGAATATGTCCTTAAAATGTCTTTAATCAATGTTATACTCAGTATCTATTTATAAAAATTATTGATACCATTGCCACTATATCAGGAAATCCTGCTAAGTATTTAATACATAATTAATAGAGAAAATCAGATTTAAACTCTGATTAAATAATTTGTATTCTCAATACAAAGGTATACATAATCTGTTATAATGATTCTTTTTCCATCCCCAAAATCAGGTCACATGAGAGGTTCCTTGCTTACCCTGCAGAGACTGGTTCAACTCTTTCCTAGTGATACTTCCTTAAAGAATGACCTTGGCGTGGGATATCTCTTGATTGGAGACAATGACCATGCCAAGAAGGTGTATGAAGAGGTAGGCATCAATCTTCCATTAACAATGTCAAGTTATTTTCAACATTAAGCCCTAATGCTTTTTTTTTTTTTTTTTTTTTGCAAATTACATGTAATATGCCCAGTCTCTCATTCCCTTTAAGTGTAATAGCAAGGTTCAAATGGTATAACTGCGAGTGTGAAATAAGAAGAAATGCCTATAGAGTTTTCTTATTTGTTTTCACATTGCTTTTTTATTTTTATCTTGATCAGATTTTAAATTTTGGTTAACACATATTGAAAGACTTCAACTGTGTGATATTTTTAAAAGTTCAAATTTATCAATCCATAGATAGCCTCTCTGAAAGTGTTCTTTGCATCAAAGGAAGAGTAACACAAGTTCTTAGAATTTAAAAATATATCATCTTTTCCTAGTTTGCACTAGAAGTCCAGTCCAGAGGGAAACTGCCGAACATGAGCCCTTCAGGCCCATGAAGTAGAATACTTATTTTGCAGAAAGTCATTGACTTTTTGATCCTCTGACAAGGATGCCTTTTGAAGGATTTCTACCTTTTAACGGATGTTTTAATGGATAACCTCTAAATCTCAAGTACCTGTATAACCCTGGCTCCGTTAGGCAATAAGGGAATTCATTTGATACATTACAAACAGGATGTCAAATAAACATTGAAGCTGGAGAAAGTGAGTGCCTTTGTATAAGAAAGATGAATGTATTTCCTTATTATTCTTTGACTTAGGGCTGTGGATCGATGGTTTTCAAGCTTCTGCAGTTTACATCAAAATGTTACTATTCCATGTTAGCCAATATGATTCCTTCCCTTTTTAAAATGCTATCAAGTGGGGCGGGGATTTAGCTCAGGGGTGCCACCGCCTTCCTTGCAAGCACAAGGTCCCGAGTTCAATCCCTGGTACCCCCCCAAAAAAGGTAAAATGCTATCAAGTATAGCAATTTCATACTCAGTCTGGGAACTAGGTCCACTCACAAAATGGTGTTTCTCTCTGCTTATTGCTGTTTATGCTTCACTCAAAATCATTGAATTCTGAAGTTGTCCTTTGACCCTTATTATAATTTTATATATCCTGAGAGAGCAGAAAGAAGATCTTTGCTTTATATAATGTCCCTAATATCTGTGCAGTGTGGCCTGAGCCTACAGTGTTAAAACTCTGGGCCATCTACTGAAGACCTGCTCCAGGTCATAAAATAATTCCATGTGGAACATTGTATTTGCTGATGAACAAACCAGACTCAGAGGTCCCCTGTCTTGCACAGTTTGGTTAAAGGAAACATCATGTATCTCAGTAATTCTGGATCTTATGAATGTAAAGAATTATCAAACTATAGTGCATATATACATTATTTTACTGCTGTCAGAGGTCACAAAGATGGAAAGATACATTTTCTCCTTTCTACCTTCCTTGCCTTCCCTTCCCTCTCCTTTCCTGCAGATTTCATCTAAAATATACACATGTGAGCAATCCACATCAAATCATTTCATCCCAGAAAGAATAACCATCATCAAGAAATCAAATAACAACAAAGGTTGGCAAGGCTATGGGGGAAGAAGGAACCCTTCTGTACTGGTGGTGGGAATGTAAACCAGTACAGACACTTTGGAAATCAATATGGAGATTCCTCAAAAACTAAAACTAGAAATTCCATTTGACCCAAGTCTTCCCCTTCTTGGTATCTTTCTGAAAGAATTAAAGACATCATATTACAGTGACACACACACACCCATGTTTATGGCAGCACAACTCATAATAGCTGAGTCTTGAAAGCATCCTATATATCCATCACTAGATAAACGAATAAGGAAAATGTGATGTTTACATACTGTAGTATTGCTAAACCATAAAGAAAGATAAGCTTGAGTCATTTGTATGAAAATGGATGCACCTTGAGTCTATAATGTTAAGTGAAATAAATTAGATACACAGTTTAAATATCACATGGTTTCCTCTTATATGAGAAACACTAAGTATAAATAAATTGAAAAATAAAAGAGATAGTACAAAATAGGGAAATAGATCTTTCTGAAAGGGGAATAGGATGAAGAGATGGCAAGAGAGGAGGAAAAGGAGATAAAAAAGAATTAAGATGTGTTATTTACATGCACCAACTACACAAAAAGATGTAAACATTATGTATTGCAAACATTTTGCAAAAAATGAAGGAAGGGAATCAAAAGATAGGTAGAGAGGAGAGGGAGAAAAGGGAAAGGGAATAAATAAAAAGGGATTAAGATATATTATGTTCAGGTACCAATTTCCCACAAGGAATGTAAACACTATACACTACAAACATGCACTACTCCTATTACTATATTACTACTACTAATAATAAAGCAAAAGAAAAAAAAAGCAGCAAAAACTCTGAAAACTGATTTTTTTTTTCTTTTTTTTTTTTTTTTTGTACCAAGGATTAAACTTGGGTCTTTGCGCTTGCAAGGCAGGCCACCAAACCACTGAGCTAAATCCCAGGCCCAGAAAACTGTGATTTTTATAAATTTATTTTAAAATAAAGATCATCATGAATAAAATGAAAAATTCATTCCATTATTCTTTTCTTCCTTTCTCCTTCATTCTCTCCCTTCTTCCTTCCCTTCTCTTTCCTTCTTTATAAAATTATTTCATATTTTTCTCCTCTCTTTTCATCTCTTCCTGCATCCCTCTTTCTTTTCTTCCTTACATCTAAAGAGCCTGATCAAGTGCTACTGGCTACCAAGCACGTGTGAGGTTAAGCCGGGGATTTAGCTCAGTGGTTCCACCACCTGCCTTGCAAGCACAAAGACCCGAGTTCGAGCCCCAGTACAAAAACAAACAAACAAACAAACAAAACATGTAAGGTTAAGGCAGGATCTGAAAGCACACTAGTTATTGCTACACCATTTAGGACAGTCCTTCCTCACCTTGTGAAAACCTCCCTTGAGTTTATTCATCCTTATTGCCTGAAGCATTTTATTTTACCTTGAAAAATAAAATCTATTTGCTGTTGTTTATACATTTAGAACCATAATCTCATCTGATTGAGCATAATAGGAAGTGCAAAATCTAAAATATAGCCATATTATGCAGTTGAGTGAGTTTCTTTTTAAAGAAGCATTAATAGGCTGGAATTAAGTGTGTGGTTTGCCTTTTTTCCTCCTCTCACTTCTAAGTTAATAAGCTGTGTCTAATGGATTATCTTTCCTTAACCAAAGTTTATCCTGATATATTTATCTCCATTGAAATCATTTTCAGAAAATTAATAATTCGAATTTTTATTTTTCTTCACACTGTTTCTTATTTTTGAGTAAATTTATAAAAATGGTTGATAGTTCCCTTTCTGGGTTTTTGCTGCTTTGTTTCAACAAAGAGACTGGCTTTGCAATGGCTGGATGCAGACTGCTCACATGTGCAGATTTTGGAAGCTCCTCCTCTGGCTTCCTTCCAAGCTAGTGACACTTTGGTGACCCAGGCAACCCACAGTCCAAAGCCAAGTATCATTCCTGATGCTTCCCTGCTTTCATGCCTCACATTTATCTTTTACTCTGTCAACTTCAGCTTATTAAAATCCATACATACTAGCTCAAAAATGGTAGTTAATGAAACAAACACACCCTGTACTTTCATGAAGTTTACAAATCATTCATCTCTATTTTCCATTTTGAATAGCTTTGAAATCCTTTGCTTTGTGCCAGGCATTCATCATCTCCTGCTTGAACTAATCCAGATCTACTCTGCTCAGATTTGTTCTTTTGGCCTTCATGAACCCAAAACATAATCTGAGCACCTACCTCAGTTTCTATCACTCAGAGCAGTTGTCTTTAAACATGTTTAATTGTTTACTTTCTCCCAGGAAAAAATGTTCAAGCAAGCACCTTTGGTATGTTTGTTTGTGGATTTACATATTTCTTACATATGTGCATGTCCTAATATAGTGTATACTTTATAAAAATATGTGTGCCTAAACAAGCTTTAAAAATAAATGAAATATTTAAAGCACATTCAAGTTTTATTTAACTGATGAAAAAATCCTTCATGCTCACTAAAAATTAATATTCTAATAATATCAAGGTGTAGTGTTATTTGTGATTACTGTAGTCCCCCTTTAACCGTGGTGGATACATTCTAAGACCCAGAGCCAGTGACTGAAATCCAATATAGTACTGAAGTTCATGTATGTAGTATATGACCATGAAGCTTCGGAGCTATTAATAAGTAAAATAATAGTTACTTGAATGCAAGCATTGTGAATACCTCAACAGTTAGTCCGGTAACAGAAATGGCTACCAGATCTATTAATGTTTCCTGTTTCTGGCACAATACCCAACACCCACAAGTTAAAGAAGAGTTTTATTTGGCTCATGGTTTCAAAGTATTCATTCCATGGTTGGGTGGCTCCAAGGAAGGAACATCATGGCAGAAGGACAAAGAAATAGCAAAGGTATTCTGAGAGACAGAGCAGGGAAACAGTACCAGAGAGGAAAGGGCCAGGGACTAGGGACTAATATAGTAACCAAGGTCATGCCTCCATGACCCACACAGGTATACCCAGAAGAGTGCTTTATAAACTAGGATGCTTTCAAGCCAGTCAAGCTGACAATTAACCTTCACATCCTATCCCTTAACAACTTGATATGCAAATACATCTCCTTAAACCATACTCCAGTAGTCACAATAATGAGTTCATCATTTAGCTTGCCAGGATACAATAATCTTGCATACAAATGAAAACTCAATAATTCCTTTTCCAAAGTCTCAGTGGTTCCAACAGTTTTCAAAAGTCCAGCTGAAATAAAACAGCCACAGATGGTTTCTCTTATATGAGAAACCCCAAATAAAGAGTAAAATAAAGGACAGGTAAGTAGAGAGGTAGATCTTCCTCATATGGGAAGGAGATTAAAAGATGAAGGGAAAGGTGGAAGAAAAAGAAGGTGTTAAAAAAAGAAATGAGATGTGTTATATGCACGTACCAACTCCCCATGAGTAATGGAATCACTCTGGCAACATGTACTAATAAAAATTTAAAACTGAAAAAAATATATCATCTTCTGAGACTCCAGACAAACTTTTAGCTACAAAACTCTAAAAATCAAAAATAAGTTACCTAATCCCAAGGTATAATATCATGGGGTCAGTGTTCCCATTCCAACAGGGAGGAAAGAAGGGATAGAAAAGAATCAGACCAAAGCAAGACTGAAACCAAGCAAGATAAACACAATGTCCTGTAGCTCCATGTCCAGCATCTGGGACACATGTTAGTGAGACGTGAGTCACAGAGAGCATGGTTGGTCCCAGCCCTGTGACTTTGCTGTTTTTAGCTCACAAGGCCCCTTTTCCTTGGTCTGGGTTCACTCACAGCCTGCAGCTTTCCTCAGCAGACATTCCACGTTCCTAGCATCTTGTATTTCCTGAGGTGTCTACTGCACCTATGGCTTCATTCCCACAGCTTCAGGCATTGCCCTCTGTCTTAGGGGCTCCCTGCCTGCCTCCCCAGGCCTTCCTTTGAAAACTTGGTGGAAGCCTCCTTAATCCCATTCTGCATGCTGATAAAACCAGGATCATGTGGACAGTGAGAAGGTCTGCTGCCAGCAGAAGTAGTAGCCAGGCCCCCTGGGACCATGGTGGCAGTGACCTCTGAGTGCCTGAATGGTGGGTGTAGATAGTGAAAAGAATCCTGGAGAACCAGTTCTAGGTGGCCCTTCTCAAGCAGGAGGCTCCCAGACTCTTCTCAAGTGTTTAATGGGTGAGATACCTTCAAAGCATCTTCCTTCTCATCCCTGTACAAAATACTTTCTTTCTTTTTAATTTTAGCAATATCCTCAGCAGCCATACCTCCTTTGGCCTTAACTTTACAAATGATTCCCTTTGGAGCAAAAGTTAAGTTTTTCACATTTTTCTTCTTTGCTTTATGCACCCAGTTCTCACTATAAATCTGTCTAAAAACATCCAGCAGTACCCGTGTCATATCCTGAATGTTACGCTGCCTTGAAATTTCCTCTGACACATCAATTAGCCCACCACCCTTAATCAGTCTCCCCCCATATTCTGAAGACATGGTCAAAATGTAGAAACATTTTTTTTTGCCAAATTATGAAATTCATGGCTTTTAGTCACTTGCCAATGAATCCTTGTTTAGATCTGAAACCACTTGAGTGCACCCTTTATTGTCTGCATTCCTATCACTGTTCTGATCTGACCTGACCAGAATCAAACATTAGGCTCTGCTTACATCATTCTAGAGCTTCTCTAGTTTCACATCTCCAGAGCCCTCCTGCAAACCAATTCCAAAAGCTTCTGAACCACGTTGTAAAGTATGACCAAAGGAATGACCCTACTTCTCTGGTACCAGTTTTCTGTATCAGTCAGCTTACTCATTACTGGGGAAGGTTACCCAATATGCAACTTGAAGGAGGAGAGGCTTATTTGTCTTGTAGTTTCAGAGGATTCAGTCTGCGGTCAACTTACTTCAAGGTAGAAGCATTGTGGTAGAATGGAATGGCGTACAAAGTTGCTTACTTCGAGGCAGCCAGGAAGCAGAGCATGGCAATAACACCAAGGAGGAAGGAGCCAGGGGCCAAATACAGACCCCAAGGTCATACCTCCATGAACCTCCATAGATGTGCTTTTCTAGTCCCCTAGATGGCTCCTATCATTCAAGCCATTCAAATTGTTATGTTTTTAAACATAACTGTCACAATAATTAATTTTGTTAATTATCTGTGAAGATGGCTATGTGCCTCTATAGGCAAAAATGTCATCCATGTAGCTGTAATAATTAAAATAATCCATTCATAATTCTGCTGATGGAAGCATGATCTGTTCCTTTTCAGTTCAGTTCCAGAGGTAATGACTAAACTCCTAGTCAGTATCTGCCTTGGGGACAGTGCCATGGAAGGTGCAGAAGCAGCAGATCCTGTGCTTCCAGTGGTCTCTTTAGGAAGGAAAGCCCAGCATGCATTTGCTCACTCCTCCATACATTTAGACAAAGTCTTAAGGACCCTCTGTGGGCCAGGCTCTGCAGGTGAGCAGTGTGCCATGCAGACAAAAGCCTTATAAAGCAGACATCTTGGTGGGGGAATAAGGAATATAATAGTGGCTTTGAGTGCTATGAAGAGAAATGAGCCAGCATAGAGAAGTGACTAGTACTGGGGCAGAGGGTCTGTTTTAGGAGTAGGCCTGGTGGTCAGCAGTAGGCTTCATGAGGTGGTGAGCTCTGAGCAAGGGCTCCTTCATTCAGATAAGGGAGTGAACCATTTGGATGTCTGAGGGAAGAGTCTGTGAGCCGGGGGGAAAGTGAGTGCAAAGGTCCTGCAGCAGGGCTGTCTTTGACTAGCTGTGAGCAGCAGGGATTACAGTGTGCCTGGAGAAGGGATAGGGGCAAGAGAGACAGAGAGGTAGAGAGGCCCAGCCCAAAGGCTTTCAGGTGGTCTCCAGAACTTGGTTTTTCACTCTGGCTGAAATGGACCAAAGGAAGGATGGGATTGGACCCAGGTCTTGGCAAGTTCCTTCATGGGCCTATATAGAGAATGTACTACAAGGGAGCAGAGGGGTGGCAGGTAAGAGGCTCCTATACAATTGGGGCGGGATGATGCACCTGGGACAGGGTGGCACTGGTGAAGGAAATAACAGATGTTGTGGTCGGAATGTACTTTGAAGGTTATGTTGGCTGAATTTTGAATGGATGAGACACAGTATCTGACTAAAGCTGAAAACATGAAAGTACAGGCAGTGTGGAAACCAAGGAGATGGTGTCCCCTCTCCATGCACTTTGCTCCTCCTGTGTAAAGTCACCGTGGTGGCTACGACGTCCCTTTTCCCACTCTGGCTGGAGGTTGAATAGACTAGACATGTGTCTTTTCTCTACATCTACCCAACTCAGACCTTCATCTTTCTCTTGCTCCATGAATTCATTTGTCCAAACAGCTTCACGAGTTGAGTATTGTTATGTTTTGACTTCTTAATGCTAATATTTAATTTAGAGGCATTTTGTGTAATTATCTTTAGATCCTAATAAATACATATAAAAATAAACAGTGATGTGGTTTATATGAAATATTTACCTGGATTTTATCACACAGTATTGGATTTGCTCCCAACATCATTCTCAGTTCTTAAAACAGTTGGAGCACTAGAGAAATTTCTATTTAATGGGTGGATCTTGATAGTACTATGCATGCAAATTTAAATGTTTTCTTGAAAAAGACAATGTAGACAACATGTATATGAAGGAATATGTAATAACCATTCATGATTGTCTTAAAGCATAGCAAATGTAGAAGAGTTTTCCCTAATCATTAAAAAAATTTGAGGTCATATCAATTGACAGATATTTTGCTAACTTGCATTGTTAAAGAAGTGCTTCAACAGTTACTGCCTTTTCACTCATTTCTTTTTTTCTTGAAGAACCGGTGTGTAATATGTGAAAGGGTATTGATTTGAGAGGAAGGAGGACCCTGTAAGTTTCATGATTGCAATGAGACAAAGTACCATAGTGTTTTAAGCTGTAGCATTGTAATCCAATCCAAGTACAGAAAACTAATTAAAATTTGTTTTGACAGTCATTTGTACAATTTATAATGTATCACAATAGCTCTTTGTTGTCTTTGAATATAGGTTCTGAATGTGACACCTAATGATGGCTTTGCTAAAGTACATTATGGCTTCATCCTGAAGGCACAGAACAAGATTGCTGAAAGCATACCCTATTTAAAGGTGACTGTCACTGCTCTTCTTCCCTTTTCATCTTTCAGTTCCTGTGAGTCATTTAGACACCCTCGATTATGCTTTGTGGATTGATTGGCATGCACGGCTGAGTCTTTTCATCATCAGAATGTACACCCTGTGACCATGACATTCACAGGCAGTGTGGACTCCACCGTAACTGAGAATGTCATATGTAGAAATACCAACTGTGGGAGCAGAGGCTATTTGGAAGAGACTTTATGAAGAAATTCATAAAACCAAAACTATTATAGTTTTTAAATAATAGCCAAGTTGAAATTATTGGCACAGTATTTTAAAAAGTGAACAATCCATTAAATGCTTGTTTTACAAGTTAATTATACATTGAGACTTCTCTGAAAAGGATTTATAGTTACCTGTACCAAGTGAGGTAAACAAGTGCCAACTTAATAGGTCAAACCCCTAAGAGCATATCTGGTACCTCAAAATATTAAAATTAAAATGTGCCATTTTTTCTCTCACATATGTAATTGAATCCTTGTTAGATCAGAATTATGTTTGGCCTAGCTTAAGACTGTCCAGTAGAACTTTTGCAGCGATAGAAATTACTTCTCGGTGTTCTCTACTGCACTGACCATGAACCACATATGAACACTGAGCATCTAAAATGTGGAACTGTGACTGAGGAAAGGAACTTAAAATCTTACTTAATTTCCATTTATTTTAATTGAATTATTAATATGTAGCTAACAGCTACCATGTTGTGGTTAGAAGTTGCAATATATTCCACTTCTGTAATCTCTTTCACATGATTTCAATCAGATATCCCTAATAGCAAATGAATACAAATATCTGTGTTTTATTTGGCCAGTATAGTTTTATTGAAAAAAATTCTAATTGTTTTCCTTGAGAACCTGAACTTGTTGCATAATCATACAGATTTCTAGTTGTTCTCGAAAGGTCTTATCTGACCCATGACCTGGACTCACCATGCTGGGACACATCAATGAGCAGTGGAACTTCTAGGATGGACATCTGCTCCCATTTGTCCTGTCTTTTGGGGGGGCCTCTGTAAACCTGTACTTTCTTGTCAAAGCCCTGTAGACATGTATGTTCCTGTCATTGAAAGTGTTCTCTTTACTTGTCCTCTGACTTAGGAAAACCTAACAGTACTTTCTTAGCTTTACAGATAGGAAACCGTGGCTAGTTAACAAACAAGGGTATTTGAGTATCAGTCAGTCCATCCTGTCACTTGCTATTTTCTAAAATTATACAAATAAAAATTCTTCCTAGTGAAAGGAAAGATACTTCTTGTGCAGAGTCCTCAAGAGGAAGATTTTTAGAAAAGAAAATTAAATATTTTTGACATTGGTCATTCTTTTGGTTTTCTAAGTTAATTCTCCTAATTTAATATGCATTCACTCTTTTTCTTTCGAAACATAAATTTCATTTTCAGTTCTTGTATAGGAGATGGGGAGAAATCAAGTAAATGCTTTAGGAGTTACTTAATAAAAAACATTTCAAGGATTTCAGTTGACTTCAATCCTTTATGTTCGGTATGAAATTTCATTAAAACATCATGACATGTTTGTTGAGTGTAAAGAAATATGACTTGCAGCGAGGGTGCCATTACTTTAGACATGAGCAATTAAACATTTGGATACAGAAATAGACTCTACATGACATATGGTCAGATTTGGAGACAAAATAAATGTGAGACATAGCCAGCCAGAGAAATTATTTGGAAAACTGAAGTATGATTTCTCCCCCACTTGAGGTACACAAAATATTCTGCTAATTTTATGGGCTATTCTACTAGTTCCATGATTAATTATAAATGCTTTGTTAAATTGAGCTTTATGAACTCCTTTTGCTTCTGCATTGTAAATTTTGACCGCTAATCTCCTTGCCAAATCGTAACATCAAATGTGTTTTTCTAGTAGTTAGATTTTTCTATGATACACAGTATTTATATATGTAAGAAAAGCTATATAAATCAAGGAATGAAATTTGGCAGGTATTTAGTTCTGTCACAGATTCTAACACTGCTCTTTCTACAGGAAGGAATAGAGTCTGGGGATCCTGGCACTGATGACGGGAGATTTTATTTTCACTTGGGGGATGCCATGCAGAGGGTTGGGAACAAAGAGGTAACGAATTTGTGACTTTTTATTCACTCTGAGAAAGAAGTGTGTGTGTCTGTGTGTGTGTGTGTGTGTGTTTGTGTGTGTGTGTGCGCACGCACCCACATATGTGTGTGTATGGGGGGTTTCTAGGAGAAAATTACAATTGAAAACATATTTTGTGCGTAAACATTTGAAGGCAGTGATTTAAACAATTAGCTATGTGTACTGTCTTCAGAATAACCCAATAATTCTAGCTTATTATTATGAATTTGGGGATTTGGCTTTTATAGTTTAAGAAATCAGCTAAGTAACCACAAGCACAGCTTCTAAATTGAGGAGTGTGTGTATCTGTATATCGGTTTGTATCAGTGTATTTAGAGTAATAGAAGAATCAGGGACTTAGCTTAGTGGTGCTGCTGCCTGCCTCAGAAGCACGAGGCCCCAAGTTCAATCCCCAGTACAAAAACAAACAAAATGAAAAAATAAAAAAATAAAGGTGGGCTGGGGATTTAGTTCAGTGGTTCTGCTGCCTACCTCGCAAGCACAAGAACCTGAGATCAATCCCCAGTACCAAAAAAAAAAAAAAAAAAAGAGAGAGAGAGAGAGAGAGAGAAACAGATATTGCCTTGGGAAAAAAAATTCTCTAAAATAAACACATGACTCAAATTGCTTGAATTTTTCAAATGTTTTAATGGTTTTTCTAGATTACTTTTTGTTTTATTTTGGAATTGTAAAAGTAGTTGTCAGTAGAATGAAGTCTTTGCTCAATGTATTCCTAAGCACTATGGTTAATTGTGTAACTTACCTTTGGAAACATTTAATGCCCAGTTTAAGATGAACAGTTGTAGTTAGGGTAATGACAGGTACTGACATAAAATAATGTAGTAACTAAAACAAGTTACGTGTTTTCTTTGTGGTTACTATGTTTTTCCTGAGCACAGCTGTCACCTTCTCTAAACATAACATTGGATCATTAATTGTGACATCATGTACTATCAATTTCAAGCCGCCTCCATGGTCTGCTGTGATTTGTATGTCACTGCTGGATGACCAAGTCTCCCTGTCAAATTCTGCACCATCGCAGAGCTCTGGGCCTCAGCTGTACTTAGAGTCAGTGGTTAAAGGGGTGAAGAGAAACATTGACTCTTTGTAACCAGTTCATTGTATGTATGTGTTAAAGTGACATCTAGAATAACACAACTTCAGATTTCTAAAGTTAATAAGAACATAGGACCATCTGGACGACTGAGGGTTCAGAGAAGCAAGGGGCTTATGATGCTATAATTGCTTACTACAGACATGAACATATTTGCAGTAATAGAAGATTGGATTATTGACCCTGTTGTCTTTATACATTTATATTAATCTATACCTTTCCCCTTATAACTTACCAGTCAGCTAACCAAACTAGAATGAGATGTTAGAAGAAAAATAAGGCAGATAAAATTACTGATTAGTAATCATTTTTGTGTTTCTTCATTCTTTTAGATGTAAAAGGAATCCTTTGAAGGAGAGGGAGAAGAAAGATTTTGCTACAGTATCTAACACTGGATAAATGTTTGTGTCTGATTACTCTCTATGTAATTGTCAGTAATTAATTTATCTTTGAACATTCCAGGGTCCAGAGCAAAGACAGATAAAAGAACACTGATTTGTCTCACATCTTAGATGAAAACAGCTCTTACTTCAAGGACAAAAAATTCACTACCAAAAACTTGTTAAAGGCTTAATATTTGAACCTATGGGACTGTTCTACCAACTTAATTATCATTAATATGCAAAGAACAGCATAGTTCTTGAATTTTAAAAGTATCTATCATTACAGGAGAGTGGAAACAAGCCTGTAGATGCCCTGTTTTAATACTTTCCTGGAGCTAGGCATTGAATGTGCATCTATGAGTCTGCATAACAGGAAGCTACTACCCTTTGTGTTTCTGTGCACGGAGATCTCAACCCACCCTGAAGGAGAACAGATAGAGAAGAGCAGACTCACAGTTCCAAGGCTGATGATCTAATAGGTTTTGAAGAAAGTTATTGTAATAATGGACAGGAAAAGAGACAGAGACAAATCATGATAGTCTTGTAGTAGTCCACTTTTAGTAGTTCTTAGTATTTCCATAACTTCCAAATCCATATTCTAGCTTCCCTTCTAGTCTCATTCTCAAAGTCTAGATTCATACATCTGCTGCCTGCTTGGTGTCACCATAGGGATGGCACAGAGGCAACTCACTTGTCTTCCTCTATCCATTGTTTCCCCCTGGGTCTCACCTCTCATTCCGTGATATTACCCCCTTTCCACAATCAAGATGAGAATCAGCTTTACCTGTCCTCTGGCTCCTTCCTCATTCCTCATCAGCCAGAGCAAATTCTGGGGAATTTAACTTCTGAGGTCTTGCCAGCCCCCACATGCACCTTCCTGGCTTAGGGCTATTAATGCTAGCCTGTGTTACCTGCACTCTCAGTGACAGGTGTAAGAACCTTTCTCACTTAAAAATCTCACTTTCTTCCAGGCCACCCTATGCTCAAAAATACTGTTATAAAAAGTCAAGTCATATTTCCATACAAAAGCATTCAATATTCTACAGGCAGCTGCAGCCAGCTGTGCTCTCTGGAAGCGTGTCTCACAGGCTCCTGTGTACAGCACACTGCAGGCAGACCAGACTCAGCTGTGCCACTGGAGCAGGGCACTGCGCCGACATGGCCCAGGCTCTTCTGAGTTAGAGACCTTCGGTGTATTTGTGTGTGTGTGGGCATGCATGCATGTGTGTGTATTATAAAACCATACATGGAAATAATTTGACAAAGTAGAGATAACACTGATATAGAACACATATAATTAACCCAGGCACTATTACTATAATATTCTTGATTGTAATTATAAAATTCTTGACTAGGCCAAAAAAATAATAATGAAGAAAGATTTGGAGATTTCTAATTTGATCATAGATTTACTAACAGTTTATATTTGAAGTTGGCTTAGATGTAAAAAAAAATCTTGCTGAATTGAGTCTCCTATGTTTATAAAGTTTTTTTTAATCTAATATAACATTTTCATCATTTTCCCCCTAAAAGTTAAATTGGAAAGAAATACCAAATTAAGGGCCCTGTTTGAGGCAGTAGCACTTAATCTGAACTTCAGAACAGACCTTACAATCACCCAGGCTTCCAGCATAAGGACTAAGAAACTAAGACTCCTAACTCCTCAAATGTGGGCTGTTTTAGTTTTCTTGTAATTACTTTCTTTTTCACTATTTAATCAATATGCCTTTTCCTTAAAATGAATTACTGATAACACAGACTTAATGGGCTGTAAGACTTTCCTTAATATCATTTTTTTGTTTCTTTGTAGCTTTTGTTTTGTTTTGTGTTTTGGTGCTGCGCTAGTCCCTTGTGTATGCTAGGCACACATTGTTTTAGGGAGCTACATGCACTGATCTCTTTAACACCAAAAATTTTAGGAAATGAAATCCTAAATTCAAATTTGATGAAATCACAATAGAATGATATTAAATAGAAAAACCTTTTTTAATAGTTTTTTGTTTGTTTGTTTGTTTATTTTTTGGTACCAGGGATTGAACTCGGGTCCTTGCGCTTGCAAGGCAGGCCACCGAACCGCTGAGCTAAATCCCCGGCCCCAATAGTTTTTTTTTTTTAATGGTAGAATTAACCACGATACCTGGAGACTTGGATTTTTGTTCTAGTTATTTAACTTTCATAAGCCTGTTTCAACATTTATACGGTAGAGATATTTGTGGCAGTTAGATTAAATGATATTTTAAAAGTAAATTGTAAACTGTAAAGTCTAATTGAAAATATGAGGTGACATTATCATCCTTCACTTTTCTAATGAAGAAAAATTTAAAATATAAATGTGAATATACTTTTAGAAGTTAGTTTTTGGCATCAAAAGAAGATATTCAGGTTGATACTAAATGCTTGTTTGTATTGATCAAACATGTACTTGAAATCACTCTTCCAAAGCTATCACTGCAGCAGACTTGTACTAAAAGAGAGGCTAAGATTCCATGCACCACTAGTAAAGTCTTGCCATTACTAGTAAAGACGATGGGACATGCATGGGGCAGGCAGTGTAGGGAGAGCCACTTATGAGCATATAGCCAGGGCATCACTGGGAGGAGCCATCTGGAGCAACAAATTCTACAGCCAGCTGTTTCTGAAATGCTAATCTTTATGGAGGCAAGTTGTATGGTGTTGCACAAAGCCTAAAGCCACAAGCATTATATCTTATGGCAGAAAAAAAAATATGTATTAGGAGCAAAAGTTCCCTTTTTAATAATCTTATACAAAGCTAAGCATGGTGCCTGTAATCCCCTCATTCTGGGAGGCTGATGCAGGAGGATGCCAAGTTTGAGCCCAGTGTGGGCAATTTAGCAAAACTCTGTCTCCAAATGAAAATAAAAAAGGGTCAGGAGTGTAGCTTTTTGTGAAAGCCCTGATTTCCTTATTTTAATTGCCAGTAACATAAAAAGGGGGGGGGGACCTGATACGTCTAACTATAACACCCACAGGATAATATTTCTTTTGTCTACTTATTTTAATGGAGGGTTTATACTTTCTTTGGGGTATCCTGTAATCCCAGTATTCTGCAAAGCTGAGGCAGAAGGATATCGAGTTCTAGCCCAGCATGGGGAAATTAGATACTTGGCAAGACCCTGTCTCAAAGTAAAACTTTTGAGCTGAGGATGTAGCTTAGTGTGATGACTATAAATTTAATCCCTAGAACTACAACAGGGAAAAAAACCCTGATATGGTCTATGACCATCTTTAACACCAACTCAGAATAATATTTCTTGTGTAACTAATTTAGTGGATGGTTATCCTGTCGTTTAGGGGTGGCCTCCTTACATGTGAACATGGAGAGTAAGTACACATGGAATCAGTCTCCATTTCAACATCTCAATTTACTAAATGCAAATATGTTTGAAGAAATTATTAAAGTCATAATCTGTTCTTTGTAAAGAAAACAAAAATTGAACTTGGAAATGAAAGCTTAGCTATAAACATACTCTCCTTTAGTGTCTCTCCTTTTTTTTTGGTAAGCAGGGATCAAACTCAGGGACCTTGCACTTCAGAGACAGGTGGTGAAACCACTGAGCTAAATCCCTGGCCCCGTGTCTCACATTTTTAATCTAGACAGCAAATAAGTTCTTGACTGCACCAGACACTCGGGGAGATCAAAACAGACGGGACAATATTCAGAGGACCTCAGTGAGAATATAATACATGTGTTCACCTACACTACCAGCTCATAATGAGAAGCCCAATGACATAATAGTATTTTCACCAGATTTCTATAGATTTGGGTACCTGACAAGCAAGTTCTGCACTCGAATATCTCAAAATACAGGCAGTCACTGACTTAAGGTAGGTAGACTTAAGATTATCAACATTATGATGGTGTGAAAGCCACAAGCGTTCAGTGGAAACCAAATTTGAAAGTACAGTCTTTTCCCAGGCTAGCAATGCATAGTGCAGTCCTCTCTCATGATGCTGGACAGTTAGCAACAGCTGCCAGTCAACCCTTGTGTAATCACAAGAGGAGGCCTCCAGCCCTTACAGTGTACTGTGTTGTTAAACTAAATACATTAGGTGGATTAAATGAATTTTTGACAGAGTATTTTCAGTTTATATATTCCTATCACAGATCCAGTAACATCTCTAACTTTTTTTTAATACCTCTAATTTTAAAATTAAGAAAAATGATTCAGTTAGAGACTAGTAAGAAGGAGAGTCTTTACTTTTTCAGGCATATAAATGGTATGAGCTCGGCTACAAGAGAGGACATTTTGCATCTGTCTGGCAGCGCTCACTCTACAATGTGAATGGACTGAAAGCCCAGCCATGGTGGACCCCAAGAGAAACAGGGTATACGGAATTAGTCAAGGTAAGTGTTAACATAGACATCATCTTCATTTTTTTTTTTTTACCTCAGAATCAGAGAATGTTTACCATGGAAAGGACTGTCAGAAAGAGGACAGATTATATTTTCAATAGTATTTGCAAAAATAGGAAAAAATAATTTTTTCATCCCATTAGCTCATTATAACTTTTAGATGATGCAGGTTATTTGTCTGGTTCCCATACTTTTTCGGACTTAAAATGGCCTTACACTCCTGAAAATTACTGAGCATTCCAAGGAATCTGTTTATGTGTGTAGTATCTATACATACAAATTAAAAGTAAGAGAAAATTACTAAAAATTCAAGATAAAAGAATATTTTATGTATGAGTTCTTAAAAGAACAATAACTATTCCATGTTCATATGATTAATATTTTATAAAGTAATTATATTTTTAAATGAAATATAGTGAGAAGATCGTGATTGTTTAATATTTTTACAAATCTTTTTAATGACTGGATTCATAGAAGACAGGAGTATTCTTATACCAACTTCACACATACACCCATGAGGACAGTAATATTTTATATCATATAGCCCCTGGAAAACACTGTGTACCTGAGCACAAATGATCATGAAAAGAGCAGAGAATATTTTGTACTATTAAGAAAATAGTTTTAAGGTAGGGCATGGTGGTACAACAATCCCAACACTTGGGAGTCTGAGTAAAGAGAATCACAAACTCATGGGCAACCTTGGTGGCATAATGAGACTGTGTCTCAAGAGAAAAGAAGTAAATAGTTTTTATTTTCCAGGCCCTCTGAAAACTTTGGAAACTTTGAGGTGTACCTGTGGTCCTGAGGCTATGGAAAGAAAACAATAGATATAAATATTGTTAGTAAATGTTCAGGCAGATATTTAGGATAGGAGAAACTAAGTGATTCTAACAAGTTATTAGCTGAAACAATCAGAAATTTATACATTGATAAATCTGAACTTTAATACTGTCTACTTTGTGATTTGTGTAGGCTCATAGTCAGAAGTTTATTTTTGCTTTAGAATCCCATTCTTCTCAGACATATTAATAAAATGGGACTTATAGTTAATTTATTCATAATTTCAATGATATTGCTTTTTATTCAAAATATGCAAATGTCATGTGCCTTTCAGGCTTCCATATGATGTGTTCTATGTTCTAACCAGAGAAATCTAACTGCTATTTATGCTTGGTCTGTACAAGATAATGTGAAGATATTTAAGCAATTGATTTTGCATGTGAGGGAAGCAAGAAGGGAAAAGTAGGAGTGACAAAACATTGATAATTCTGTAATCTGGGTGATGGATGTGTGGAGGGTTTTTATATTATTCTTTCTACTGTTGGGTATATGTTCAAAATGTTTCATGATCTTTTTTCAGAGGATCATCTTGAATAAATGTATCTTGGAGACTTACAAGACTTCATGGGTTTGGTTTACTTGGGGAAAAGAAACATTTTGATGTGGTTTCAATGTACTTACATTAAGTTGGTCTTACTGATCGTGATTATTCTATATTTCATTATAGAAGCATACTTTATGATCATGACAATCCAGTTGTAAAATAGACTGCTCTGACTTAGGCCTTGAAAACCATGATATGTTGACATTTCTGAAGAAGAATTTTAAGAGGAGCCATATCCAAAGCAGAAATTGTACAAGAGCAATGTGTTTCTTGTTAAAACTACTTCAGTTAGCACTATCTATGGTTGTTTTTTCCTTTGTAAAATTCCATCTCCTCTCATGTCCGATCACATTCAACTGATTATCCTCTACATTTTTTCTTGGTCTCTGTGAGTTTATTTCCCTGCTATAGCTTTTGGTATGCTTTCAACTTGATATAGCAGAAGTGAAATTCAAACCTGACTTAAACAACATGGAACTTTATTCACTCGCGTAACTGGAAGCCAAGCAATAGAGCAGACTTCAGGATAGTATAATGGAGAGAATGCATTCTTGGCTTTACATTTCTTTGGTCATCTTTATCTCTGTGCCAGCATACTGCAAGGTAACTGCCAGCAGGACCTGGACTGGTTGGTTGAAAAGAATTTTAAAACTCTATAACATTGTGGAGCCTGTAAGTGAGCTTCTCAAAATCTCCTGGGAGATCCTTTCCTATTGGTAACAACCACACCATAGTGGATACTCCCAGTGTCAACGGTCTGAGATACAAGGAGCTGGCCACAGGCTTCCAAGAGAAGCAGAGTATATCTCTCCATCAACTTGGGAATAGTTATTATTCTCCTCAATCTGAATGAGCCAATTTAAATCAAATTTCTACTCTGGATCTGTTACTGATTACTGAGAAGGGACTATGAGATTATTCTCGAGCCAGCAGACCAACCCGTGAAAGCCGGGAAAGGGTTAGCTTCCTCTAATTGAGTGCCTTATCTGGGGAGAGATGGATACCAAAGTCAGGGTTCTGTTATAGAGAAAAGGGCGTGACATGTTGAAACAGAAGCCTGTATGGATCCTCGCTGACTGAAACAGAACATTTTTCTGCGCTTTGTTTTTCCTTTTCTTCATTCATTTTCTGAGAAATCTTGTCCACTGTGATTTATCTGCTGTGAAAAGCTAAGTAAAGCTAAAGTAAAAGGATAGAAAAAATAATCCATCTAAACAGTAAAAGAACTGAAATGATTGTACTGATATCAGACAAAAAAGACTTTAAGGCAAGAAGTGTTAATAGAGACAGAGGGACATTTCATAATAATAAGAAAGCCAATTCCTTAGAAAGATATGCACTAATACAGACACTTGTGTACCTAACAAAAGAGCACTAAAATATATGAAGCAAGAACTGATTAAGTTGAAAACTGTGTACATCAACAGTACTAGATGGAGATTTTCATAATTTGCCTTTTATAATGGACAAAGCATCTAGACCTTGTATCAAAAGGAAATAAAACACTTGAACAACACTAAGGCAACAAGAGCTCACAAACACTAATGAAACAATTCACCCAGTATAATCAGGATACACACTGTTCTCAGGTGCACATGAGTCATTCTCCAAAATAGGCCAGGTGCTTGGCCACGGAACAAGCTCAAGAAATTTAGAAGTATTGCAATTACAGAACATGTTTTAAACCATGAGGATGAAATTAAGATTTTTTTAAATCAAGAGTCTGCCTTACAGGAATCATTAATAAAAATAAATCTAATAAATACACACATATGTGAAAATTAAATATTGTACTCTTAAGTAACCAATAGGCCAAAAACAAAACTACAAGAGAAATTAGAAGATATGTTGAGATAAGTGAAATAAGAAATATAACATGACAAAGCTTTTAGGATATAGAAGCATTTCTTAGATAATGATATTTGCTAATATCTATATTTTGAAAAGGAGAATGGCTATAAAACATTAACCTGATGATCCATTCTAAGAAACTAATATAGCAGAGCAAAACAAACCCAATGGAAGCAGAAAGGGACATAAAATTGAAGCGAAAATAAATGAAATGTGACTAGCACAATAAAGAAAAATTAATAACACCCAAATTTGCTACTTAAAACTAGATTATTTTAGAAGCTAACTAATAAAAAATAAGTGAATATTCAAATTACTAAAATAAGAAGTGAAATAAGACATCCCACTACCAACCTTACAAAACTTAAAAGAATTATAAAAGAATAATAGAAAAAGTATAAATCAAAGAAACATAGTTAACCTAAATGAAGTTATTAAAACAGAAACTAGTAGGGCTGGAGATTTAGCTCAGTGGTGCCACCTCCTGCCTTGCAAGCTCAAGGTCCCGAGTTTGATCCCTGGTAACAAAAAAAGAAATAAAAACAAACTACTGAAACAAAAATCTGAATAGACCTGTAATAAGTAAAGAAATGAAAAGAGTGACTTAAAAGCTTCCCACAAAAATAAACCCAGACCCAGACTTTTTCACTGCTAATTCTATCAACTATTTAAATAAGAATTAGCACTAATTCTTCACAAAATCTTTAAAAAAAAAATGAGTAAAGAAGCAGCAACTCACTTTATTGAGCCCAAATTACTCTGATATCAAAATCAGGAACATCACTGAAAAAGACAACTATAAACTAATAGTTACTACAAATATTACATGTAAAACTTCTCAGCAAAATATTAGCATACAGAATCCAGCAACATACAAAAAGTGCTATATATATGAACAAGAGATATTGTTCACAGGAATGCAAATAAAAACTCAGTTAACATGGTTGACTATGATTATAAGATTATGATTGTATTATCGTTTCATTTGACCCAAGAAATTTGACAAAATTCAACACCCTTACAAGGTATGAAAAATAATACAACAAACTAGGCAGAGAAGGGAACTGAAGTAACTCACGTCATACTTAATTGTGAAAGACTGAAGAAGTGAAATTATCTACGTTCTTAGATGACATTGCTTTGTATATAGACTGTTTTAAAATATCAGTTTTTAAAAAGAATGCATGTAATCCCAGCAGCTCACAAGGCTAAGGCCAGCATGGGCAACTTCACAAGTCCCTGTTTCAAAATAAGAGTTGGGGATGTAGTTCAGTGGTACATTGCTTGCCTAGCACAGGTCAGTCCCCAGTATTGGTATATGTGCTGCCTAAGCGGATACAATCCCCAGTATTGGAAAAAAAATACTAATAAAGGAGTTCATCAAGTCTGTAGAATTTAAGGTCAGAATGTAAAACCTAATTCTGTTTCTTTAAACTAGCAAAGCACATTACCAAAATTAAGAAGACAATTCCATTTGTAATAGCATAAAAATGAGTAAAACACTATTTTTGGGTTTCTAGGGTCACAATAGCAAAGTATTACAAAATAGGTAGCTTACACAATAAAAATTTTTTTTCCTCACTTTTTCAGATCAAAGTGCCAATGGAGTTGTTACTTCTGAGGGCAGTGAGGAATTGTTCTTTTCTGGTGCATTTCTGGCAGTTCTTGATGTTCTGCGGCTTATAGATCTCTGCCTTCATCTTCTCATGCCATTCTCCCTGTGTGTATGTCAGTCTCCGCATTTTCTCTGCTT